GGCATCTGAGAATAGTACAGATAAGACATCAGTACCGCCTACAATTGGACAGAGAATGGCATTTGGAGCACTGGTTATGACCTATGAAGAAGCCCTGCACAGCTCAGGTCCAGGTCATCTGAAGGACTGTGTCCACTCTGTATGAGTTTAGCCATGTTTTGAGATCTTCTGGGGAGGCCAGTCTCACTGCCCCATCACCTGTACAGGTACATCTGGCGGAAACATGGAAGACAGACCTGCTTGGTAGCTGTCCCCAGGCTCTTCAAAACTCTCTTTTTAAGAGAAGTGAAGTGGGATAGGAAGCCTCTTTGCTCTCCTTCTCTAGGAAGGTAAAGACTTTCTTTTTTCGACAGATGTCTGATAGCTCATTGTCCAAGGGAAAAGGGCCTCTCATAGGACGTTATCACACAGGGACAAATCTGCTGGTTAATCCAAACAAATCCCAAACAGAAACTGGATTTGTGCCCCGTGTTTTCACACGATGTCGCACAGAAACTGGACAGAAAGTGGACAGAAACTGGTGTTAACCGAGATCTTTTGAAATTCAGTTGTTTAGAGGAAATGCAAATGCGAAATTAAGGTAATTTCACATTTACCGTAATGTGAAAAGCAAATGCGCATTTGGTAGCATTTCCCTGCTTTTCCCATGGTTCCATGGCTAGCATTCCTCTATCTGCGTTTTTTCAGTTTTTTCAGAGGGGGTTTGCCATGGTCATTCTCTGAGGCTGAGAGAGTGTGACTATGGCTGAGTCAGGATTCGAACATGTATGTTGTGATACTACACATCTGTGAAGATGCGGGGAGAGGGCAGAGAGGGCAGCGGGGACGCAGTGTGGGGCAGGGAGCCCTCCTTGCAAATGTGGCGCTTGTGTGCATGTGTGTGCATTTGTGTGCATTTGTTTTGTTCGCAGCCCTTGCTTCCATGACAACCGACTAGTGGCCACAAAGCAAAAGAATGTGCATTGTGTTGCTTCAGCGTTTTTTCAGGCGCTCAGCTGGGATCGATAGAAGGGAGGCCTTTGGGGCTGGGAGGGCGTTTCATGCCCCGCCACCACTGGAGCATCCCAGACACACCAAGGGCCTGGATTCTCAGTTTTTGGGGAAATGAGGGGGCCAGCGATAGGTGGATTTCCTTTTATTTGTCCTCAGGGAAACACATGATGGAGAGAGAGAGAGCCTTGGTTAATAAATAGGGAGCAGAAGAGAGGCAGGCAGGTGCCCCATGAGTGCAAACCCATTCCAGAATGTGGTGCAATTAATGCGCAACAACTTTGTGTAGAGAACAGAGCTGCACAGGAGTGTGAGTCTGCATTGTGCTGGATCCCGAAGGGTTGTGTTCCCATGTTCCACCTTCACCTTTGATGTGGCTTTATGATCCAAAACATAAAGATCAGAGGCAGTCTGGTGTAGTACTTACAGTGCCAGGTTAGGGCCAGGGAGACCGGGTTCCAATCTCCATTTTGCTGGGGTTTTCTGGGTGATCCGGAACCCGTCATTTTGTCTTCCAGCCTGGCATTCCGAGGGCTTGAAAGAGTTACTTTTTTAAAAATGGATTGCAATTCCCAGAATTCCTTGGCCATCATGGCTGGGGAATTCTGGGAGTTCAGATCTTGAAAAGTAACATTTCCAAGATTGGGGTGTTTCTTAGAGGCTTGTCAGGAGAACTATGAACTGAAAGTTGCTTATCTAGGGGGAGAAAGAATATCAATACATGGACCTGAGCATATGCATCTTTTACACAGAAGTGGCCAATGCAAAAACTGTATTAAAATAGACATAAAAGTTTGGTTCCAGTCACTTATGTCTGTAAATGCAAGTGGTAAAATGCATGAGTGAAAGCTTGCAACGTTTTACAATGAAATTGTTGTTGCTGTCGTGTGCCTTCTAGTCATTTCCGACTTATGGCGGCCCTAAATCGAACCTATTATGGGGTATTCATGGCAAGATTTCTTTGGAAGTTTGCCGTTGCCTTCCTCTGAGGCTGAGAGTGTGTGACTTGCTTATGGTCACCCAGCGGGTTTTGTGGCTGAGCTGGGAATTGAACCCTGGTCTCCAGAGTCATAGTCCAAAACTCAAACCACTCTCCATGCTGCTTCAATGAAATAGTCCAATAAATATCAGTGCTGAGGCTGGTGCACTCTGCTTATGCTCAGAGATGCTTGCATCTGTATTACTTCACATGCTACTGGCTGAGCTCTGGCAATGAAAGCAGACTATAGGACAATATATAAAAAATGAAAATATAAAAGCAACAATTATCTCTTGGGTCTCCCTTGCGCTTTTTCTTCTGTTGTAAGCTTTTCCTTTATTAGAGGTCTATTCCTTCTCCATGGCAAGAATTTTGCAAGTCCATCCTTTACTGTACTGAATAGTTATTAGCCATGAGAGTTGACTTATGGTGGCCCTCTGAATGAGAGACCTCCAAGTTGTCTTGTGAACAGCCCTGCTCAGGTCTTGCAAACTCAGAACAACTATGGGTTCCTTGATCATATTAATCCGTGTGTAATGCTGTCTCCCTCTTTTCCTCCTGCCTCCCACTTTTCTCTGCATCATCCTTTTTTCCAGTGAGTCACGTTGTCTCATTATATGTCTAAAAGCTCAACAACTTCAACTTAGTCATCTTGGCTTCTAGGGAGGGTTCGGACTTGCTCTGCTCTTGTACACCTTTATTTGTCTTTTTGGTCACCCCAGGTACCTCCAGATCAGCACTACGTTTCAGATAACTCCATCTTCTTCCTAGCAGTAGAATTCAAAGATACGGCCGTGTTCGTCTGTAAAATCAGTACGGAAAGAGATCTTGTAGCACCTTTGAGACTAACTGAAATAAAGAAGTTGGCAGCATGAGCTTTCCTAGACTTGAGCCTACATTCTCAGATGCCTTTGGATCCTATATGCATCTGAGGAAGTAGACTGAAGCCTACAAAAGCTCACGCTACCAATTTCTTTCTTTCAGTTTGTCTCAAAGGTGCTACAAGATCTCTTTTCCTTCCTAGTGTTTAGGGGACTTTGGAGAAGAGGAGCTGGTGAAGTTCCTGTTTGGACCATATGAAAGTCAATTCCCTAGCATCACATTAAGCATTCATGCAGCATGCTCAGTTTTCAGAGTACCTTACAGAATTTCATTTGCAAGACAGGTAGGTCCCTACGTTCAAAGGGTTTACATCCAAAATAAGGAAATACAGTGTGGTTTGAGGGCAGGGAGAAGAAAACATTAGTCATTGCCATGAAATTGACTTTGATTAATGGTGATGCTCTGAATGAGATGCTCCCCAAAACTTCAGTCATGTATAGCCTTGGTCAAATCTTGCAAACTCAGGGCAGCCAGGATTCTTTGGTTGAATCTGGGCAGACTAGACATTTGCCATAATTTTTTAGAGTTCCCGCAAGTGGCAAAAGACATCTGTCTATCCTAGCATGTGATTTCCCTCACCTATGCATTTTGCATTCTCATGCATTATTGTTTTTGGAGTAGCCATTGGAAAGTAAACCCTTGCTGAACTTGCAAATTTGAAGGATGAGGAATGCATCCTGAGGAAAGGCTATGGTGAGAGGGAAAACATCAGAGGGAATAACATTCCCATTAACATCTATTTTGACCTCTTGAAAGTGTCCTCCTTTGGTGCCCTTTGGCCGATGTGTTTTCTCAAGGTAGTCTGATTTTGCAATGTGGAGAGGATGGTTATTCAGGCAAAACTCTGGGCTCAGACTAAAAGATATTCTAAAATATAGTTTGCTTGTAGTTGGATGGCACTTAGTGGGGGAAAGCGTCAATTTCTTGTGATGCAGGAATTGTGACCCCAGGAGGCTATTTGAAGTCACCTAAGGATAAGGTACTCTTAGGCTGAGTTGCACTCTCCCCTCCAAAAAAGAAAAGAAAATACAAGTTGAATTCCTCTTATCCAAAATGCTGGGGGCCAGAGGAGTTTGGGATTTGGATTTTTTTGGATTTGGGAATACCTGTATTTGCATACACGTAATATGCTGGAGTTGGGATCCAGGTCTAAGCACAGAATTTATTTATGTTTTATATACAACTAATACACAGGGCCTGGAGGTAATGTTATGCAATGTTTTCAAATATTTTTGTGCACAGAACAAAGTTTGTGAACCATCAGAAAGCAAAGCTCTCAGTCTCAGCCACCCATGAAAATATTTTTGGATTTTGGAATGTTTCAGATTTTGGAATTCCAAATAAGGGAGACTCGACCTGTAATAGATAATTGAACCAAGGTGCAAATTAAGTCCTGGAAGTGGAGTTTGGTACTTTGGGAAAATGGTGGTGTGTGTGTGTTTGTGTGTTACTGATAATATAAGTACGTTTCGTTGTGGCCCTCCAGATATTGTTAGATTGCAAGTCCCATCAGCCCCTAGTGTTAGAGACCCATGAAGCTCCCTTGCAAAGGAGCAGATGGGTATAATCCAAATCTGGCTTCCGTGTGAGTAATCCGTCCCTCTTGCGCAAGCCAAACATGTCTTCTCCTGCCCAGGCAGTTTCTCCTTGTTTAGGAGAAGAAGGAGGCAGAGGTAACTCCTCTTTTAATTTTAGACAATTTACAGAGAGATATAAGAGACATGTGTAATTTGTGGGGATGGCCCTGAGCCCACTGATAGTTTGCATACAAAAGGTCCCAGATTCAAGTCCTGTTTTATTGCCCTCAACATTCCTGGGCCTCCCTATTTGATTTATTTTATTTTTGGGGTGTGTGAAAAATGCATTAAAATTGCCCACACCAAAGTGTGGCAAGTGAACATTGTTTCAATGCTCCGTACAACCTTGAAGAGTGTTGGACTATGACTGGAGACCAGGGTTCAAATCTTTTTGTCTTGACTATAACTAACCCAGATAAGATCAGTCTTCAAGTTGTTTTTGACTTTTGGTCACCCTAAGGTAAACCTATCATGGGGGTTTCTTGGAAAGATTTCTTCTGAGGAGGTTTGCCATTGCTGTCACCTTGAGGCTGAGAGAGTGTGATTTGCCAATGGTCACCCAGTGGGTTTCATGGCCAAGCTGGGAATCAAACCCTGGTCTCCAGAGTTGCAGTCCAACACATAAACCACTAAGCCACACTGACTCTGCGTTGCCATATCTAAAAAGAGAAAAGGGAGGTGCAGTAAACAGTGGAATCTAGCTGCATTTTTCAGGCTAAGTAGTTTATTTCTGCAAATTATTTAGGAGGAATAGGCTGTGTATAATATGCTGGGTGTTCTTGCCCCCTCCTTGTTTTCATTTCAACGGTTTACATTTTTAATAGGTTTTAATATTTTGAAAGTTGGATCACTTTTTAAACTTCCCTGTGCTGTGAGTCGCTGTTATGGTTGCTCAGCATGTTGCATTGTCAAATGTCTGAAGAGATGTCTGGCTATGAGAAGCGGACATTGTGTGGCACGTAGTGGTCCACGGGGCCTGGGCATGCTGGCTCTATGTCTCTCCAGGTGCTGAATGTGTGCCATCTTGGGCAGCCTGTGATCACTCATTCCTGTCTGCATGGCAAATTTGTTCTGCCACCGGCTGGTGCCCAGGATCTGAATGTACCCAGAAGCCAGGCTGCCACATCTATGGCTGAATTTTTGGTGGGGTTCTCTCTCCATGCTCTGGACCAGGGGTAGGCAACCTTTCCCCTTTAAGGGCTGAGGGACTTCAACTCCCAGAAGCCTCAACCATGTTGGCCAATAGTCTCATGTTGGCCAATAGTTACTGGGATTCTGGGAGCTGAAGTCCCTCAGCCCTTAAAGGGGAAAGGTTGCCTACCCCTGCTCTGGACTGTCCTCTCCATCGTCCCCCACAAGCCTCCCCAAGAAGCTCTCTGCTGCCATCAACCTCCTTCTGTCTTTGCGTGTGTTTTGCTTTCTGGCTCGCTCTCTTCCTGATCAACCCAGAAATGCCTCATTCATGCCCAAACCCGTTTGGTAGCATTTCTAAGAATGACGGATATAGGAGGAGGAAGAGAAGGAAGGGCTGACCCACAGAGTTGTGATTGTGTAGGGCAAAACCCTGTGGGTCAGCTAACCTCCCTTTGTGTACAGACTTTGGTTGGTAGTTGTTGTGTGCCTTCAAATAATTTCCAGCCCTAAGGCAAACCTATTGTGAGGTTTTCTTAGCAAGAGTGGTTCAGAGGTGGTTTGCCATTGCCATCCCATGAGGCTGAGAGTGTGTGACTAGCCCAAGGTGGGTTTAAGTGGCCAAAATAATTGAGGCAAGCTTTTAAAAAATCACAGCAGAGTGGTTTACTTAGGGTGTTATATTTTTTTAACTTATATTGTTTTATATGTTAACTTATATTGTTTTAAATAGATGATTTCAGTTGTTTTTAAAACATTTACTGTGATGTTTTTGAAATGTTTTTATCTTGTAAGCCATCTTGGGTCCCTTCCTGGGAGAAAAGCATCATAGAAATGAAATGAAATAAATAAAAATAAATAAATAATAAGTAAATAAGCAGGGAATTGAACCCTGGTCTCCAGAGTTGTAGTCAAACACACTACTATGCCATGCTGTTGCACCCCATAAAACCTCTTAGACTATTATGAATTTTGAAGGCTTGGCACACTCTTGGCTAGGCAAAGAATTCAGTAGCTCCCATCTCAAATCGTATTCATCCATCTCATGCTACCTTTTTTGTTGTTGTTGCACTTTGTGACCGCTGTTTTTCTTGCGCATGGCGAATTTGGCCCCAGGCGTGTCTCCTGCTGATACACCAAAACTCTGGTTTTTCATGATGCACAGAAATTGGAATGCATTGGGAGAACTGCAACGCAGGGATGTGAGGTTGCAGAGTTCAGGCAGCTGTGTGTGTTCAGCCCAAATAACTCTTCATTTAGATGACATGCGGCTCCTCTGAAAAACGGCATGTGGCGTGTGCATTATTATGTGCCTGGGCTTCCTGCAATTCAGGATCTTCCTTTAGACCTTTAGGAGTAAAGCCTGGCTTGTGGGCCATGTGTGGCTCTTAGAACTCCAGTTTTGTGGCCCCTGAGATCCTGTGGAATCAGTGAAATACTGCCCGAAAATGTGTCAGGTTTCAAGTAGTGGCACATTTTGTAATGGCGCTGCTGCAATCTGCTCTATGGAAATTTCATTTAGGCGTTTTGGATTTCTGCCAGAGTATCCCTCATCCCCGGGACCATTGCTGTTTCCTTTTTCTAGAGGCCCTGAATCTTAATTTGTAGGTTCTGATATCTTCTCCCACTTTTTGTCTTCAGTTCTGCTGTCCCCCAGGATTGCCACATCCATCATCCAAATGTTCTTCTCATCGGTCACAGGTCTTTTTGTTGTTAGCTTCTCAAACTGCTCCAAAGAGGCAGTAATTTCCATAGAATCAGTGCCTGCATATGTGATTCTCAGCCATGAAATGATAGGAGATTGTGGTTGTGAGTGTCTCTGGAAGTACAGCCACCAAAATCAGTTGAACTGAGTAGAGATGCTGAGGAGTAAACAGCTCAAATCTTGTTTAGCAGTTGCATGATGTAAATTTCTGCTAGGCATGGCTGTTCCAGAGTTACTCTATGTTGGAGTTATAACCGATCACGTAACGGGCAACCATGTCTCACAGATGCTTGCTGACTGATTTTTAAGGATCTTGTGCAACCCTGATTAGGATTCTGCCCTTGTGCCACCTCCTTGAAAGTACAACCACCTACATTGAACGCCTGCATAATTTTGACACCTTTGCCTGATGAAGAAGCCGGTGGAGTTATGAAAGCAAGCAACATGTCTTTTGTGCATTTTGGTTGGTCTGATAACAGTATCGCTGTCTTGTGGATTTTGGATGTTACTGCAGTTTGCTGTATGGCCATCACAGCTACTCCTGGATATGTTTATACCAGGGGTAGGCAACCTTTCCCCTTTAAGGACCGAGGGATTTCAGCTCCCAGAAGCCTCAGCCATGTTGGCCAATAGTCCTGGGATTCTGGGAGCTGAAGTCCCTCGGCCCTTAAAGGGGAAAGGTTGCCTACCCCTGGTTTATACTAACAGTATTTCGTAGCACCATAGAGTTGGAAGAGATCCCAAGGGGCCATCCAGTCCAACCCTATTCTTTGCAGGGATACACAGTCAAAGTACTCCCTGTGACAGATGGCCATCCAGCTTTTGCTAGAAAACTGCCAAAGAAAGACGCAAACAGCTCTTACTGTCAGGAAGTTTTTAATATTGAGTTGGAATCTCTTTTCCTGTAGTTTGACTCCATTGCTCCAGGTCTTATTCTCTGGAGCAGCAGAAAACAAGCTTGCTCCCTCCTCAATCTGACCTCCCTTCAGATATTTAAATGGAGCTGTTGTGTCCCCTCTTAACCTCCTCTTCCCCAGGCTAAACCAACCCAGCTCCGTAAGCTGCTCCTCATCGGTCTTGGTGGTTTCCATTTTGGTTGCCCTTGTAGTTACACAAGTGTAAGCCACCCATAGGATCCTGGCCCAAGCTCCTCATGAACCCAGCCTCCCCCTCCCAATTGCTTTCTCATATTAGTCTGGTCATTCCTTTTACTCCTCTGATGCGATTCCATCATGGATGATGTATTATTTATCTCCTGCTAACAGTGTGCCTTACACACCGGAGGCAACATGATGCACTTATTACCATGAGGTTTTTGTATAGGCCCAAAGAAGGGAAGGTCTTCCCTGCCGCACAAGCTATCCTTTGGCATCTGAAAAGAGCATTTTGGATGGTCTGAAAGCAGAGGCTGGGGCGGACTGCACAGAAGATGGCACATTTTGCCCCATGGGCCACATCATGTCACTTGTGGCTACCTTTTGGCACAAACAACCACAGAAAGAGGGTTTGTGGGACTTCTGGAGGGGAGAGAAGGCAGTTGCCAGTTGACTTATGGCATCCCCATAAATTTCATAAGGTTTTCTCAGGCCAGAAATACTCAGAGGTGCTTTTGCCAGTTCCTGCCTCTGAAATAGAGCCTAAAACACCTGGTATTCATTGACAGTCTCCCATCCAGGTACTAACCAGGGCTAATCCTGTATAGCTTTCCAAGATCAGAGGCATAGAGATGGCCCAGTTAGGACTCTTAGTGGCGTGAACGTAGAAGCAAGGAGAGCTTCATTTTGTTTGTATGCAAAGGGCTTTTGTGTTAGTCTCAAAGGTGCTACAAGATCCTTTTGCAGAGAGCCAATGTGGCGTAGTGGCTTGAGCATTGGACTACGACTCTGGAGACCTGGGTTTGAATCCTGGCTCGGCCATGTAAACCCACTGGGTGACCTTGGGCAAGTCACAAACTCTCAGCCTCAGAGGATGGCAATGGCAAACCTCCTCTGAAGAAACTTGCCAAGAAAACCCCATGAGAGGTTTGCCTGAGGGGCATTGCCAAACTCAGCTCAAGGTAGTGAGTGGTCCAGGGACCAGAGCCAGTCTGCAAGCTGTTGGCTACTGGTCCATGGCAAGTTTCCAAGAACGAGGGAAAGAATTGTAAGCCAATGGGCTCAGATGGGGTCCTGGTCCTTGCAACATGGGGGATAAAAATTGCTGGCCCCCCACATCGGAGAGCTTGAGATGCAATAGCCTAATATATCTTTTGCTGTAGTTTTGAAGGTGCCACATAAACCTCCCTGTTCTTCTTTAAGTGCAAAATCTTCAGGAGCAATCCTGTTGTCCTTCCAGCGCCTCTCTGTCCTGGATCCTTCATGGGGCCCCCCCTCATTTTGACCCATACCTCCCCCCCAAAAAAAAACACCAGACGGCTGTTGCTCCAGAAGAATGAGGCGGCCTCCCTTCTGTTTTTCCAAGCCTTGCAGCTGCATCTCCTCCTTGCCATATTCCCTCGGAGTGATGCTCTCCGCATGCCAGATGGTGTGGCCTGACCTGCTCTTTCTAAGTGGCCTGATGAATATTCAGAGGGGGATTTGCCATGTTTTGGGGGAGACATGGAGGGTGAGAGGAAGGCAGGACAGCTGGCAGTGGATGGACCTGACTCCTTGCAAGCCAGAAAAGGAAGAGCGAGAGGAAACATGGAAGGAACTTAGTTATGGGACAGCAGCTTCCATGAGTCCTAGCAAGCTAGCATTGCAAATGGTGTGGGGAAGTGGGAATTGCAGTTCAGTAAGGGAGCCCACATTGCAGAATGGTTTGAGTGTTGGACTACCATTCTGGAGATCAGAGTTTGATTCCCAGCTCAGCCATGGAAACCCACTGGGTGGCCTTAGGGAAGTCACACTCTCTCAGCCTCAGGGGAAGGCAATGGCAAACCTCCTCTGAACAAATCTTGCCAAGAAAACCCCTTAAGTCAGAAACGACTTGAAGGCATGTGGCAACAAACAACAAATAAAGCCCATGCGCAACCCTTTGCCAGCCCCAAAACTTTGCCACCTGAGGCCAGTGCGTGGCAGTGGGTCACCATCCCAGTGGGGGAAGGGAATTGACTCCTCCTGCTCCTCTTTTTCCTTCTCCTTTTCCTGCTGCTCCTCTTCTTCCTCCCCTCCTCCTCCTGCTCCTGTTCCTCTCCCCTTCTCATTTTCATCCTCCTCCACCCTCTTCCTCCCCTCCTTCCTCCTCTCCTTCGTCCTTCTCCTCTTCTTCCTCCCCTCCTCCTCTTTCTCTTTCTCTTTTTTCTTCCTCTTCTTCCTCCCCTCCTCTTTCTCTCCTGCTTTCTCTCCTTCCTCCCCTCCTCCTCTTTCTCCTTTTCTTCCTCCTTCCCCCTCTTCTCTTCTCTTCCTCCTCTTTTTCCTTCTGGGGGGAGGAAGAGAGGACTGAGTCTGTTGCTTCTGGTCCCTCCTTCCTTCCTTCCTCCCTTCCTTCCTTCCTCCTCTGGGCTGGTCCTCCCTTTGGAGGAGGAAGAGGGAGGGATGCTGTGGCGAGGCTGAAGGAGAAAGGGACGAAGGACCAGGACCAGGACCAGGAGCAGGACCAGGACCGAGCAGCAGAGGACCAGAAGGCAGGCAGGCAGGCAGGAGGGCCCCCACCCCCTGCACCCCCTTGGGCATCCTATCCTCCCTCCCTTGCTCCTTGGGGCTGGTGGGAGTGCCTGAGGATGGTGGTCTTCCTGGGTCGGAACCTGCCTTCCCTCCTGGCCCTCTTCAAGAAGAAGGGTGAGTCAACTAGGGACCCCCAGGAGGACCCCAAGGTCAGGCTTGGCTTGGGGGCTCTCCTCTGGACCTCTTTGGCAACGCCATCCATCCATCCATCCGCTACAAGGGAAACAGTGTTCTCCCCTTTTCTCCACGAGAGATCCATTGGATCCACCAGCCCACGACCGGATCGTCCTTGGGATCTGGGAGGATGGAGGGGAAACATGGCAAAGGGTCCGGCAAAAGAGTGTGGATGGATTAGATTGTCTGGCAAAGGGAAGAAGGAGGGAAACCCCAAGCGCTATTTACTACCCAGCCTGATGAGAAAACACATTGATTAAAGAATAATAATAATAATAATAATAATAATAATAATAATAATAATAATGTGTTTTTGAAAGTGCTTGAGGTGTTGTGCATTGTTGATTTGTTGTTGTTCCCTGCCTCAATCCAAGAGAGAGGTGGGTAAGAAATAACAACAACAACAGAAACAACAACAACATAATAATTATTAAATGCATGTTTCTCATCAGGCTGGTAGTAAAGTGCTAGGGATGTTGTGCATTGTTGATTTGTTGTTCCCTACCTTGATCCAAGGGGAAAGGTGGGTAAGAAATAATACTAATACTAATAAATTTCTTACCTGCCTCTCTCCTGGATCAAGGCAGGAAACAAGAACTCAGCAACACACAGCATTGGCTGGGAATGATTTCAGTGGACCTCAAGGGCCTTTTATGATTAATGTTGAATATTAATTTTGTTCCTGAACTGTTTGGGTAGGTGGGTGGTTCGCTGTCATTTTTCATTTCCATTAGGCCACTTGTTTCTTGCAGCATCTCTCTGTTTATTTGTCTGTGAAGCTGCAAAATAGCCTTGCAAATGCAACACAACCAAACAACAACTTCTGCCTTTCTTTCCCTCCAAGCCCCCCACCTTGAAATACCTGGGACTAATTTTTGCAAAGAAGGCTTTTATGGGGGAAAGAAACTTGTTCCCGCAAGGTATTCCCCCTGATATCCCAGAGACTCTGTCCATGGGAATCTGCTGGCATGCATCCCATGAGGATGGAGGGGCTGGGGTCCTTTGGAGCAGGAGGGGGACTATGTGTAGAGCTGGTTTCCCCCTATTTGGGGGAATTTGCATCCCCCCTAAACCTCTTTGGTGGCTTCTAGGTGCCCCCAACCCAACCTTCCCCCCTTTTTTCCTCTGGGCAAGGCATCCCCATTGTTTTCTGGACTCATTCACTAGCTCTCCCTGGATTGCTGAAGCCAGCAGTTCATGCTTGGCTTTCCCTTTCAATCTGGACCACTAGCAGCCGGAACAGGGTGACCAGACATGTCCTACACAGTTCAACCTTATGTTCAGGAGGAATATCCAAGAGGCCCTCCATTTTGAGCAGGACTAATAAGCATGAATTGATATCTATGTGAGTGCTTTCAGCTTCGATTTGTGAATGTGCTACATTTTTCTTGAATATCTGGTGCCTTGCCTTCCTTTTCAGTTAGGACACTGGGATCCCCTAAGCATCACATCACATCACATCACCAGTTTCCCCAATATTGGGACTGGGATTGGGATTGGGAAAGGGAATTGGTGCCATTCTGGGTTTTTCTGCTGGCTTGCTCTGCAGTGCTTCTGCAGCTCTCCTTCTCTCCTTCTCTCCCTCCTCCCTCCTCCTTCTCTCAAATTTTGTTTTTCGGATGAGCTCTGTCTCCTTTGGCTGGGATGCAGCAGCCCTGGTGAGATGCTGAAATCTGGGAGAGGATTTACCTCTCCTTCAAGCCGAAAATGAATGCTTCCTTATTGGCTGCTCTCGGTTTGTTTATTCTGCAGTCTCCTGTCCTCCTCCTTTTGTTTGGTGACTTCCAAAAAATGGCTTGATAAAGTGGAGAGAATGTATTTCCTAGGAGGGCGAAAGGTCTGGAAGCCACCAAGCCCTGTGAGAAGGGGCTTAGGAAGCTGGGTATCTTTAGCCTGGACAAGAAGAGGTTAAGATTGACATAATCTGGAAAACTCTCCAAGATGGGGGAGGAAACACAGATTCCTAGAGTTGGAAGGGACCCCAAGGGGCATCCAACCCAACCCCATTCTGCCATGCATAAATATTTGAAGGGATGTCATATTGAGGATGGAGCAAGCTTGTTTTCCGCTGCTCCAGAGAATAGGACGTGGAACAATGGAGATTCCACCTAAACATTAGGAAGAACTTCCTGAGGATAAGAGCTGTTTTTGATAGTGGAAGACACTGCTTCCTCGGAGGGTTGTGGTATCTCCTACTTTGGAGGTTTTTAAATATAGGCTTGATGGGCATCTGTCACAGAAAGGGCTTGGATTATGTTTTTCTGGATGGCAGAAGGAGGTTGAACTGGATGACCTTTGAGGTCCCAACTCTAGGATTCTGTGATTCCTCCTCCATCTTGGAGAGTTTTCCAGATTATGTCAATCTGCAGCATGGGATATATAAAGCTGGATTTAGGATGCAGAGGCATATAAAATTTGCATCTTTATTTATCTGGATCACTTGGCTCTGGTTTGAAGTTTCGTGCAAATAAGGAGCTGGAAATAAGGAACCAACTTTGTCCCCGTAACCCATCTCTGCTTTTCTTTCCTCCTCTCTCTTTCTCTTCATTTCTTTTTCTTTTTGCTCTTAATTGCTAAAGTCGGACTAACTTTGCCAAGGGGAATATATTGCAAACATTTGCAAATAAACAACAGTTCAGAAGGGGAAAAAATGATGGGTTTTTAGATCAGTATGTATGCTATGCAATGTAGGGGACAGGCAATGTTTTCCTGTAATATGTCAGGGACTGGTTTCTGTATTTGTGCCCATTGGCTACAAATGTTCCTTTCTTTTTCTGGAAACTTGCTGTTGATGGCTCAGGGATTGGCATCGGTCCATGGACCACTGCTTTTTATCGCCCTCTTTTAGATGTTATTCCATTAGGACAGGTCTTGGTCTTGGTCTGCTGCTTACCTGGCTGAAACAAATCAGTGCCTTTTATTTGTTTCCAATATTTATTTGCACCCATTACCACTGGTTTCTGAAGAATAGTTATTCAGAACAATTAAACCAGCATCTGCTGTCTGATTCATCCAAAGCCAATTTGGGAGAGGAGGGGAATCTGGAAAGATGTCCAGTCCTTCTGTCAAGGACCTAAATCAGGGGTAGGCAACCTTTT